AATGTTAATCTTTTAAAAATAGAAGAGGAAACAGTAAAGGGGACTTTAATTTGCAATAGCACTGTGTGCAGTATTCTTTAAAAAATCCTGCCACTAATTTCATTGGTATGTTGAATACTTGAGAACAAAATGTGGTGAAGTTTATTATTCCTTCTCCAGACAGTAGAACCTGTTCATAAATAACATGTAATATACAAATATATATGAAAGCCTAAAATTAATTACCCCAACTATCAGCCTCATGCATATGCCCAACTGTGCAGTCTAGTCATCATGCATAATGCTATAAAATTTAGCTTTCAGCATATTTCACTTTTATAATTTTTTCATTCAGTCTACATTTAGTAGCTGTCTGGCATATAACATGTTTAAAATAATGTTTTCATTTAGGTATCCATTGCAAGCCAAACCACTGCAGGTTCAGAGCCGCTCAATGAAAGTGTGTGTGTGTGTGTGTGTGTGTATGTTTGTGTGTGTGTGTGTGTGTGTGTGTGTGTGTGTGTGAGAGAGAGAGAGAGAGAGATATTTTTTGTTTGTATGATACAGCTGACACTGACTTTGCCATTCTTTGAGAGTTACATTCACACTATCTTTGGTTTTGACTGATCCTAATACTTAAGCACAATAATCTACCAGTATGGTTATGTAACTGTTTATTGTTGACTCTTAAGAAATATGCAATCTGCAGTTCTAAGGTCACATGTATCCTTAGCTTTATTTCATGTGCCTTAAAAAAAAATATTGGCCCTTTGCAAGCGATAAATTCAGGCCTCAAGGAAAAGTCAACTGTCCTTCAGCAACCTGATACATAAACAAAATACATAAAAGAGACTATCCAAAACAGAAAAAGGAGTGATTTTTTCCCTAGAAAACAAAAGTAATTCTGCCATCATATGTTGCTCCCTTCACTGTGCAAATCATTAGTATGTCATATAAGCCTCAAAAACTTACTGCGGTGAGAATGCATTCTTGCCTAAAAGCAGTGGTAGGATTCAGCTGGTTCGCACCAGTTCGGCAGAACCGGTAGCTAATTTTTTTTTTTAAACAAATTTTATTGGTTTTTAAAATTTTTAAGGCAACATATTCAGGACACACCGTGGTGCTGGGGTAATCAAACATCTTAAAACAAGACATATATAATCAATACATCAAATATTCCCTCTCTTTTTCCCTCAAATAGCATAGTATATTTGGAATATCCAATTCTAGCTTAAATTTATTCAACCTGAACCTGTTTTCAAGCTTCATCAATTTCTAGCATAATCAAATTAACTTTAAATAAAAACATTTTCAATTCAAATATCCCTTCCACATATATTCTACTTTCTTAGTTTTATCAAAATCTTATTTGTTTCTTCTTCCATTAATCTCCCTTATTTAGAGTAAAATATTAATCTATTCTGTACCTATCAAATCTCTCAATTGATCTAACTCTTCAAGTTAAGAAAAAATAATATCATACCTAAAATCATGTCATTTCATTAAACAAAATTCAAATCTCCAATTAAATATCATGACTAATAACATCCATATCATCAGAAAATCATATCATCTTATCAAATTTCAATTAACTATTAGTTCACTTCAAATCTGAGACATCTCTTCAATTTTCGTCATTCCATTACATCATATTTTTCATAGAAATAAACCTAACATTCTAAAAAGAACATTCCTAGTATTCTAATTTGTGTTTAATCCCTTATATAGAAAGATCTCATTTTTAAACAAAAATATTAATCTATCCTAAACACTTCTAAATATATGTATTTATCAAACTATTCTATAGATATCTAATCCTTCACTTGATCAATCTCTTTAAATTAACAAATTAATATCAAACCTTACATCATTTCAATCCTTTAAGTAGAGTTTAAATTTCACACGTTATAAGAGAAACAAGTCATCTTATTTAATTAACATTCAATTAATTATTGATTCACTCCAACTCTAAAACATCTTTTTACTTCATACTCAAAATCTCAGTCCTTACATTAGTCCATAGTTCTAGGTTGCCTTTAATCCAATTTAAAAAAAAAATATTTCATTTTTCAATCTTATTCTAGCTTTTCTCTTTTGCCAGGTAGGTTTCCATAAAAGAGCTTCCCTTCCAGATAATAGGTCTCTTTTTGTTGCTTGTAGTGTCACTTGATTCGATACAGACCATCTTGATCTCTGATTTAATCCTCTGTTTCTCTTGTCCATAAAGCCTCGTTGCTTCAGAAGTCCAATGTTCAGTCNTTTTAAAGTAGAGATTCTGGCTCTTAGTTCTGTAGTAGCCTCTTTTATTGTAGTACATATTTCTTCTTTAGCCTCATAGATCTTTTCCAGTATAAGTTTACAGTTTAAATATGATTGAGGCTTCTCCATTTTAGCAATAGTTGAAGAAAAATCCTTTTCCTTTTTAGTGAAGGTTACAATTGAACATTGTCCATCCCCATAGATCACACAGCTAGCTCAAATTATCTTTTTTCTTGAAAAACAGTTTGAAAGCCAAAGCTCTCTCATCTCCAAATAAACAACAATCCAATATTAACTTTTGACCAGTAGGTGTCCTCAGCAGTGAGCTAAAAAGACTTCTTCAGACGCCATTTTTTTTCTTTTTTTCTATCTTTTAAAGGGAGAATAGAAAAAGAAGTACTCTGCCGATATAATACCGCTCCAAAGAACACAAAAAACAGTTTTTTCTTCAGCACAATGTAAGTAGGAATAGAATATAGTCTTTAAATGAATATTTATTTATTTTTTCTGTCCTTTTTGTAAAACGCGTTTGTTCCCACAATTACTAAAGCCGCTTTTTCCAGATGGGGAAATAATATCACAAACAGTTTCTACAGGCAAAAACAGCAGGGGGTATGGAGAGGAACAAAAGGGGTCTCACCCGGATCATCCGCAGTGGGTCTTTAAAGCTTAGATGACGATGTGACTTTCGGCTGGTGCAGCAGGGTGATCGGCCATCTTGCAGGCCGATCTTTACTCCGTCAGCCCTAAGGAGAAGCTGGAGACTCGGGGGAAGCTGCCGCCCCCCCTATCTACCAGCAAGCCTCCTCCTCGGTGGTCGCCCCTCCAGGGCGACTTTCAACCCCACCCGGCGAAGGAAACTCCGGACGGCCTGGAGAGAAGTTTCCAGGCACGACCGGCGTCGCTGCGTTCCGAAACCGGAAGTGGTAGCTAATTTTTTGTTGCCCAGGCCCAGAATGGACTTTCGGAAGCAGCATCCACACAGAGAACCAGCTGTTCACATATTTGAATCCCACCATTGCCTAAAAGAAAATAAACTTTTCCAAACCTGCCTCTATATTTATTACAGACTACTGAAAGACCCATCCATTAGAAAAACTCAGCTTACTCAAATGTACTCCTATCATCTACTTCCTCTATTAATCAATTAATAACCCAAGAAGTTGGCTGTTTATGAAAGTACTAAATTTAATCTAAAGCCTTTATTAAGAGATTTTGCAAAATAATTTTGGAAACTAAATATGTTTTCCAAGTAATCGCTATTTAATAAACTATTAATATAAAATTCAAATTGGATAAAAAAACCAATTCCATTTTGAATAAACTATGATGTTTAGTCTTTTGTATTACTTATTCTTCTACAATCCTAAGACAGTTTGCCCATCCACACACATCAATTTTTTTCCAAATATTTCAGTTAAGTAAGAAATAAAAATATGCAAATTGCATTACCTGTTCAACTGTTAATTATATCAAAATGCATTTTGTTGCAGGAATTTTGGAAAAGGGTGGTTTTTCTAGTTTATTGCTCACTTTTCCCAATACAGATTTTGTTTCCAAGACATATGGATGGTACAAGTCTGGAAAAAATAGGTATAAAGAAAATCCTGTAGCAAATAGCTATTTAAGATTCAGAGCCATTATTCTTATAAAACAGAATTAGGTTTATATTAATTGTCCCAAAGGTGCTTTTTCAAAAGCAACTGGACTTCGTTTTTCCTAGAAGAAGTTTTGCTCTCATCAAGAAAGCTTCTTCAGTTCTGAAGTCCAGTTGCCTTTTGAAAAAGTACCTTTGGGATAACCATGACCTGGATGACTGAGAATCTCCATAGACATTTATATTCATTGTACCACACTAAGGTCTGATGTCTTCAGTATGCTACTAATGTGAAAAATATCTATAAACGTAAAGCACTGGATTACAAGTAGTCCTTGACTTACATCCACAATTGAGCCCAAAATTTCTGTTTTTAAGTGAGACATTTGTTAATTGAATTTTGCCCCATTTTAAGACCTTTCTTGCCACAGCTGTTAAGTAAATCAATGCAATTGGTAAATTAGTAACATAGTTAAGTGAATCTGCCTTCCCCGTTGAATTTGCTTCTTGGAAGGTCACAAAAGGTGATCACATGGCCTTGGGATCCAGCAATGATCATAAATATGAACCAGTTGCCAAGCATCTAAATTTTGATCACATGATCATGGGGCTACTGCAAAGGTCGTAACTGTGAAAAATGGTCATAAGTCACTTTTTTCAGTGCTATTGTAACTTTGAACAGTCACTAAATGAATAGTTGCAAGTCGAGGACTACCTGTACTGATATATGAATAATTATAGAGGGATTTTGACAGGAATTTTTTAATGATAGCATTATGAAACAGGCATAATGTTACTGAAACCAAAAAAATACACTATTGCCAAAGCCTGTTCTCTTCAAATTATTCTTTGTCATGGGGGCGGAGTTGTTATATTGATTACTGTCTTTTCTGTTTCGTTATTTTATCTTATCAGAAACTATCATGCAATGATAGTACATTTTGTTTTAAAAAAGGAAAATATAGTTTTTGACAGATGAACGACTGTCTTACTACTTTGTTGTCATTCACAAATTGATTTTAGAAACAAAGTAACATGTTAGAATCAGAATATTTGCTCTCTTATTGTACATGTTTGATTCCTTTCATATAATCCCTGATTGCTGTTGAGTGAGAAGAATCATTTCAGTATTTTAATTCTTAGAACCCACTCCTTTGTCTTGCAGCTACTTGTGGCAGATACCATTAACAATTGCAGTAGGAAATACAAGCCACATCTCATCAGAGGCAATTATATGGGTGTCTAACAAATCAGGTAAACAAAAACTTTCCTCCCAGTAGAATCTCATAATGCATTCATGTGTTTTTATGAACTATTTCTTCATCTTAGAAGAACTATTTCTGGATCTTAGAAAAATGATTAGCATTGCTAAACATAGATTTTGTTTTGGAAAAATGTGTTGTAAAAAGGAATCTCAAGATTTTTCCCCATAATAAAAATTGGAAAAATGAGAATATTATGAAATATCTATTTTATAACATAAGATAGTCTGGAAATATTTATTTGTCTTCATATATACAATCATTGTGATAAATTTATAAAAAATATATCTAGTTTATAATTAACCCAAGAAAATTATAAAGAAATTATGATTCTACTGTAAGTCGTTTTCTGATGTTAGCAAAGAGGGTTTCTTTTAGTCTTGGTTTTTTAAGCTTCTGCCACCATCATCTTTTTTTTTTTTTTAGTCCCCCCCATACAATTCTAGTAGGAAATTACCTCCAAGTCACTTGGAGTCTCAGAAAACTGCTTTGGAATTGGAGCGAAGTAGACAGGAAATTATCTAGCAAGGGTTGTATGTGTTTCTCTTAGGTGTTTTTCTCACTTATTCTCCTAAGCATGCAGTAGATCATTCCTGAACTGGCACAGTCTGCTTGAATGGCAAGACATAAAAAAAGAAGTCCTTGCCCTACCTGTGAAAAGAAGACAAAATGAACCTATATCATAGAGAAGTTATAATAATATTATTCTTTGCTGTGATTATATGAAAGGAAGCAATCAAAAACTTGTGGCTTTCTTTCCCTTTTGTTCTTTAACAGTTGTAATATCTTAGAACATGGTGCTTGGGAAAGATACATGTACTGTAGAATATTTGTTCTTTTAAATAAGCATAATTATCATAAGGAATTTTTTTGGCATTAGACATAGTTGGCTCAGATTTTCAAGACAGATAACTTACTGATTCAGAGCTAGATGTTGAAGCCGCTTTTTTTTTACTTTTGTTTGAGTGTGTGTGTGTGTGTGTGTGTAAAAGAGGAGTTCTGTGACTGCACCTTCCTTTGCTTAAACCAATTCTTTAGATTCATTCTTTGTATTCAGATTCACTGATCCTATCATCAAAAAAATAAGCCAATAGTAGCTAGCAGTCGATGATAAACTATTATATACTGTATATTTCTAAGGAAATATATTGAAAATTACCAACTTGGGAATAAAGCTAATTCATTTTGAAAGCTGTATTTATTCATGAGCAATTCCATTTTACTTCATTTATATGCTAATCAATATGCAGCCAGTGAGAGGAGATTCATGGAATCACAAGAATTTGTACAATAAAAATCAGTAGCAATAGTGGTATTAGAGTCTAGTCAGTGTATTTCAAATCGTGTGCAGGGATATGTATAGTATGCACATTTGCTATGAATGATTGGCTAATGTGCATGAATGTCATGAATGCCAGGCTGATCCAAGCTACAGTAGGTAAATTTGAGAAGCTTAATATATTGTTAGTAGCTGAAGGATTAATTTGGGAAGACATGTTACTAGGAACAACTCTAAGAGCAATGTATAGTAGATATAAAGCAAGATATCTTGTTCATTTTTCTGGAAGGTTCCTTGCATTCAAAAGATTCATAACAAAAGAATATTTGGGAAAGTTGCTTTCTTTTGAAAAATTTTTGATGCATGAATAACCTAATCATATTTATATCTGCCTCAGTGTGTATCCCTTTATGAAACAAAGCTACAATAGTCCTGGTACTGCTACTGACAAAACTGGAATGCTGATGTAGACTTTGGCATTTTGAATTCCACAGTCAAGAAAAATAAGCAAAACCTTAAATAATTATGTATTTATTGCATGTCTTTGAATGATGGAAGACTATGTCCATTATGCATCTTCAGAGACACTGGTCACTTTATGTGATGAAGAAGCAGTCTCAAGTAATAGAAGTCATCACTTTGTGGAGAAATGGTATACACTCAACCAAGAACCTGACTTCAAAAATTCTAGAGAACTCTCCACTCTTTTTCTAATCTTCCTTCTTTTCCAACTCTTATTTGTCCAAATGTAGAATCTTGGACTATCCACATTTGTTGTTGTTGTTAGTTGCGAAGTCGTGTCCGACCCATCGCGACCCCATGGACAATGTTCCTTCAGGCTTTCCTGTCCTCTACCATCTTCTGGAGTCCATTTAAGCTCATGCCTACTGCTTCAGTGACTCCATCCAGCCACCTCATTCTCTGTCGTCCCCTTCTTCTATTGCCCTCAATCTTTCCCATCATTAGGCTCTTCTCCAGTGAGTCCTTACAGTGCTTTTGCAAATGGATCGTGCATCCAGGAATTCTGTTAAAGTAGTTTTTGCTATATTTGTATTTGTTGCATAGCAGCATTACTTTGTTAGAATACTTGATGCTGTTGAGGAAGGTCCACTTGAAAGCAAGCAGCCCCTGATTCCCTCTCATGAATTTGAAATCCAAGTTTCAATACAACAGCTTCAGAGGGCCTAATATACAGTATCTGCCTGTCAAGCAATGTGTGATCTTTCATCTTTTCTGTTCAACGCAAAAATGGCCTGATCTCTTCCTTTCATAGTATACTTGACGTACTTGATGGATTTGACAAATGAGAATATTTTTACATTGAGAATATAACAACCTTCAAAACTACCCATTGAGAAATTAAAGTTTGACTCTGTTGTCCTGCTTGATGTCTTTCAAATACTCCCATTTCTGAAGACTGGATATAAACAGTGGTGGGATTCAAATATATGAGCAACCGGTTCTCTATGTGGATGCCGCTTCCGGAAGTCCATTCTGGGCCTGGGCAACAAAAAATTAGCTACCGGTTCTACCGAAGTAGTCCGAACCGGCTGAACCCCACCACTATATATGAATCATCACCACACATTGTATGCTCACTGAATGGCTTTGGGTACCTCTTACTGCATGTACCATTTTTCCAACACTCTGAGTTTCTGCTGAAATATGAATCATGGATCAGGTGCTTTGATATCAATTTATAGAGCTTTGGATCTTCATTTGGGTCTGGCATTTCAACTTGCACAAATGTATTATCTTGTCATCTTAGCTTGTATGCTTCATCAAGACACCACTGCCACATTTAGCACATAAACAATCTTCATACCAAAGAGACCATGTATTTCAGTGAGATACTATATGAACAACTTTCTCTTCAAGTTGAATACTCTTGCGATTAAATCTGCCCAGTCATTTGGCTGCTGATTCAAAAAAAGATGCTATTGTATTTATGGCCAGTTTGGATTGCATGTAAATGTAATGAAAAGTGAAATTGCCATAATTCCATATATACATCATGGCATCTCAACATCTTTATATCATATGTTTTGGTCCACAACAAATGTTGAAGAGAATATGGCAGTTAATGGTGGGACCAGACTACCTGGCCTGTGGAGGGTTGGGCAGGACTAGTTTAATGAACTTCCAGGTGGCAGCTTAGCAGTGCAGAAATGCTGAAGTGGCCACAAATTTGCCAGATTTCAACCCCATGATGGTCATAATGCTAATACTCCCATATACTGTACTTCATCTTAATTTTATTGTACTCATGATATGCAAAATTCCATAGGGTAGGCAAAAAATGTCCTGGATATGGTAATAAGAATAGCAGCAAAGCTGTCTTTTTTGAAAAGCAGGCTATATGTTTGGAGGAGGGGGGAATGTCTCCTTTGAATCATGAGTAAAGGAACTATAGTCAGTTTCAGTTTAGGAAGCAGTTGAAAAAATGAAACAGGATGAGGAAGAACTAAGATAAAGTAGCTATAATGACTGACACCAGACAGATCCAGTTTCTACTCCCTCTGCAGCCACGGCAGCTCACTTTCAGCCAAACCTGCCTCACAGGTTTGTTGTGAAGGAATATAGGAGGATGGAGCACTTATGTATGTGCCTTGGAGCAAAGATGGAATATAGATACATGTGCATGTCTGTTTGCCAGAGACTGGTCATATAAAGCAATAAGAATACCTAAGCCTTTCTTCTTACACCTTAGAGTTATTCCTTCTGTAAGTGCCACACGATGTCAATTCCTTGCTGCTGGGTGGGGGGGGGGGCAATGAGGGATTGCAAGAATGGCAGAGAAACTGTCATGGAACTTTCAAAAAGAGCATCACATGATTGCAGCAGCAACCTAAAGCAGCCACAACTTCCCCAAATTTCATTGCCTCAGGCATCATGGATCCTAGATTTTGGATGTATTCTGTAAGGTGGCCTATTTGAGGTACCTTGGTTCAAAAATTGCTGCCTGGTGGTGCACTGTTTTTACCCAGTTAAAGGTCATGACAGTGAGAGTTTTATTGGTACAGGTAGTCGTCAACCTATGACCACAATCAATCCCAAATGCCTGTTGTTAAGTGAGACATTTGTTAAGTGAGCTTTGTCCCATTTTATGACCTTTCTTGCCATAATTGTTCAGTGAATCACTGAAGCTGGTAAGTTACTAATTTTTAGCTTGCAAAAAAAGGAAAGAAAAGAAAGAAAAGAGGAAAATTATAACAAGGCTTTGCAGTACTTTAGATTCAGTTTGGAAAACTTATTTCAGAAAAAAAACCTAAAGCATGTATGTAATACCTATCATTAAAGCAACTGGATACATTTCCAGGATCTCATGACTGCAGTGGGATATGGTTGCTTTATTGAATCCCAAACAGATGCTGCTTTCATGTTCCCATGTGTTCCATAGAAATTTTTTTCAGAGCAAATCTGAAGCATTGCACTGCCCTAATAGCAATCTACCAATACCTTGCATTGTAACATACAAAAATACCTACAGTATTTTTTGTTGAAATTGAGAGCAGGGCAAGGTCTCGTTAAAAACTGTAAAATTCAGGCTGACTATCAGGAGGAGTTTCCTAAGGGTAATCACTATTAGCCTGTTACTAAAGTTTTGTTAGGAATAGTTTGGTGGAACTTAAACCAGATAACCTCTTAAGTCCCTTTAAATGTTCATATTTTTACATTCATTTAAATATAATATTATGAATTGCCTTCTAGAT